TAGTTAGTTCACATCTACTACCGATTACCTTATTTAATGTTTTAAATAATTATAACGTAGTCTTCCCAGTACGAAATAGACAACTAGATAAAGTGCTCTTGTGTTTCTATCTTTTGAAAACAATTTGAAGAACTGCCAAGGATGACTCTCCGTCAAATACCGTGTTACTTTAAAGAAACTCAACTGTAGTTATCTGGAGATGCACAGTTACTAAAAAAAGACAGTTGTATGAATGATTTACCACGTGACTCATGTCTGAATTCATTCCTAAAACCTTTAATAAATTCTTGTTGGTGCAAATGATTGATATGTGTATGTGAAAGAGAGAAGTTAGCTAAGTCGACCAATTAACAAACGTTACACATCGGCAAACTGAAGCAGTCAACTATCTATAGAAGAGAACAGCAAATAAGAATTAAGCAAACTATGAATTAGTAATTGTATATACAATTATAAATTCCAATTAAATGCATATATAGTTTTAAAAAATAGTGTTTCTCATATTCCATTTAAACCACTGATGAACTGATGATATTGCAACAAGTAGATATGGATATATTTTGTGTATCCATCCAAAATTTCAATTCTTATTCTTCATTAGAAGGATTGTTGCACTAAAACAAAATAAAATATAATCAAAATAAAAAGTGTTTGCTTACTAATAATAATTCACTCAAAAATATACATTAATGATTCATCAGTTTAGTACATATTTGGATTTTGTATATGCATGTGAATGTTATACTTATTCACTTAAAATCAGAGAAAAATATGCAAGTTTACTTATCACATAAATACACTCAAGAAATTAAGACTACTATGCCTTCAGCCATATTGTTACTGTATTTGTCAGTCAATCAGTCATCTACAACGTAGGACCAGACAAATTATATACATTGATCCAAATTGCCACACTTCATTAGCACAACAAGATGAACACCGAGTTTACAAAAGTAGTTACTTCAATAGTAGTAATATATTTAAAAAAAGAGATTGCATATAAGGATATGATATAGGGAGAAGGAATTAGTTCGTAGAAAGAAAGGTATAAAACTATCTTAATCTCACGGTTTAAGGGGAAACAGTGAGTGTATACACTTGATTCTGAGCCTTGTCACCCAGAGTTTCCAACTGTACTTTATTTGTACTTAATTCATGTAACTTCAGTAGGGGAAAAAGGACTGGGATTTATCAATATTCTATGAACATTTATAAAAATGAACTTTACAAGCTACATTATTATAAACAAATAATTTTGTATATGAACCATATTCTTATAAGGGGCAAACAAGCAAATATCACGAGTATTCACATAAAAATTAATCAAACAAAAGATTATTTGAATAACAAATACAAAAAACAAACATTACAAAATAATTTTACTACTATTTCATTTATCAGGTCAAGATATATGTAATTGGCTTCGAGCCACATTTTAAGTGAAAGGGTTAGTATTACCCAATTGCCTCGACCGAAGCAGATGGAGCGGAGTTCGAATAAGCAACATAGGGACTGAAAACTAAGCGATTTAACTACTGAGTCACAGTATCCACTAGCAAATTATCTTCAGAATAATCCAGTCTAGCTTCTTTTGAAACAGTTGAAAGGGTAATATTTTTATGGAATAGTTAAATTAGGCAGTTCAGTCAAAATCACATAGAATGAGCCATTAAAATTTTAAAAAGCTTGATGGTTGTTTCATTGCATTTTGAAATTTTAGTTATGAACAAATAATCAAATCTAGGGACTCTAATTATCAGTAAAATACTCTTAAAGCACCAATTCGAATATGAACTAAAACAACTTCACTGTATTAGACATGCAAAATCAATTTGACTGAACTTCCATGATATAAAAAAAAATATTGAAGGAAAAGATTTAACAGATATGAATTTCACACGTCTAATCAGAGTGAAATAGACGTTTATTTATTTCGAAAGTACTGATGAGAAGTATAACATTAATAGTAATAATAATAATTATTATTATTATTATAATTATAATAATAAACGAATGTAACTCATTTACAAAGTACAGATTTTTGTACTTGGATTTAAGTCACACTGTCTGTGTAACAGCTAGTTGGCGATATTACCCGACCCTCAAGACCGAAATGAGTGAGGCTGACTTTGAATATGTGGCCTATTGATTGAAAGCCATTAAGTCACTACTTTAGACTAATATTAAATTTATAAACAATCCATATTTAAGACAATTTTAGACTGATTTTGGAAATGTTTGCTTAAAGGTGATCAAGTTTAGATAATAAGTATTTACTATTACTTTATTTACTTTCGCAACTAGAAGAAAATTATTTAACAATCCTACTTTTTTTAATTCCTTTAACTTTTTATTTAGGCAATGAAAAGACAAATACCATACACATAACTAAGCAACTAAGTCAGAATGAGTTAAAAAGTCAGGAAAAGATTTTTATTCAAGCAAATAATCAAACAAATCCTCACTATTTAAACAATGAACAAGCAAATATTTCTACAGAAATGAGACTTAAATTAACACTTAAAATGTATATTTTAATATTTAGCATAATATTAATTTGTATATTTGGATTACCAATTTCTATCTTAATTGGATGTTATTTAATGAAAAGTCGGTATGATCATCGTCATCGCCATCAATATAAACGCAAAAGCGATTACCATCAGTATACTACGACTACTACTGCACCGAAAACAACACGGTCAAGATATCGTCGCTATTACCAACGGTGTTATTCACGTGTTAAACCTTTTCTAGTAAAATCACTACATGATTATAACAAGGATCAATCGGAATTAGAAGCATCAATAAAATCACCTATTTCAGTATCAACGTCGTCATCATCGTCATCAGTGTCACCATCCTCTTCACCAGTTTTAATATTAAAAGAATCTTATAAAACAAATAATCGAGCGAATTATAACTTGACATCAATGCCATCCACAACAAAAATAACAAAAGTATCAGAAAATGAATGTAATTCCAAATCTATACATCATCGTTATCGTCAGCATCATCACCATTATATTCAACATTTGAAAGCAAACAAACGAGAGAACACTATCATCAACAGTGATGATATAAAGTTAATTCAACCGTCATCAACAATATCCAACACTAAATTAAATGAACTTGTTAATTCAAATGATCATCATCATAATACTGTTAATTATGAAAATCAAAATAGTAAAAGTTATAGTCCTATTAAAAAATTTAATGATTATATACTTCCAACAATGAATACAACTGTAGCAAAAATTACTAATTCACCTGTGATTATTAGATTAAAATCATTGAATGAAACAAATTATACATTGAAAAAACAACAAAATCAGTCAACTTTAATTAAATCACTTTCTATAAATGATGATAGTAACAATTGTAATATTAATAATGTTGAAGATCATCAAATAATTGAAAGTAAACATATAAAAGATACAATTCTACAACAATATGACAACAATAAAAGAAATAATATTAAAACAATAAAAGAAATAACAACATCTAGTTCACAAGATAAAACAAACTGTAAATCAAAAAATCAACAAAAAAGTTCAAAAGAAATTTTATTAAAAAATTTGATATTATCAATGGATACTAATTATCATCACCAAAATAATAACAATAACAATAAACATATTACTTATAACAATGATAATAATAATAATAATAATAGTCAATGTATATCACATATAAAAAGTGAACCATCTACACCAAATATTTTTATGCATAATGTAACATTTAATTCGTATTATTCTACTACATGTTCATCGCCTTGTTGTTCACCTAGTCCAATAACAGTAAATGATTATAACAGTTCACAAGATAAGACTACAATAACAACTGTTTTAACTATGAATAATAAACACATGAATTCAATTGATAAACAACAAAATAAATTAAGCCAATTGGAGAATGGTGATAAAAAAGAGGTAATAATCATGCGAGAAAACATGACATCATCACAAATAATTGATAATCAGTTGAATAATCAATATGAATCTGATACGATCAAAATGAAACACGAATACAATCAGAATAATGCACCGAGAACAATTGAAAATATAATAAAACAACAAATAGAGAACTCGAATCACCAGCATCATCAAATAATATGTGATGAAAAGAGTTTAAATAATGAAATATGTTGTACTACTAATAATAATAATGACAATAATAATAATAATAATAATAATAATAATAATAATAATAGTGATAATAATAATGACGATATTTTATTGACACATTTACTAACTGAATCGAATGAAAACATACCATTGTACACTTGTTATTATCAAGAATGTAATAACACTAACACTACTGAACAGTTTTACAATATTCCTAAAAAGCAGAACACTTGGTCAAATGGCAATAGTAGCAGTGATAGTCATGGACCAGTCACATGGCCAACTATACAGCATTTCACATCTCATCCTATTCTACACAGATAAATACACATACTTATATATTTAAAATTCAAAATGTAGGTAACAGTACACTCATCATTACTTTCATCATCATTTCTACATTACACATTTATTGTTACTATTATCATTATCAGCATATCATCATCTCCAGTAATGATATCAAAATTTAATTCATAACCAAGCAGTTAAAACTACTCATTCACACACATTACAGCTTTGTCTACACTTCTATCAACTTTTATTCTGTTTTGATTTGTTTTTCTCCGATGTTTTTTTCTTTTACACATACAGAAAGAAAACGAAAGACAAAGATTGGACCGTAAAAAAACACATGTCCTAATGAATAAAAGCGTTAAGATCATTATCATATTTCTTACGTCTTCCAGATGAGATTTTTATTGCATAACTCATAAAAAATCTTATTCTGTTAGCAATTTTCTAAGCAAATTAGCTAGCCTAATAATTATCAGCATCGTAAGAATATTTTACACATATGACGGAGAGAAAGTAGAGAGATGTAATGTACGGTACAGTTAGAATAAACTATAAATGGTGCGGTAGAGTTAGAGATAGTTACCGCGGATTGATAACATACGTAAAATAACTAATACGGCACATTATCACAAAAAGATTGTCGAAAAAGATATTAATTTCCGAAAAATAAACATGAACCTGAGGAAATTTTAAAATTTAGTACTGCACAACAAAGGTCAACCAAACATGTTAAACAATTTACCTGATCATAATAAGCTTGAACACGTTCACACCACAACTCCCAGTAATGTAACAAGTTAGTTTCGTTTAAAACAAACCGAGCAGCTGGATAACCATCACCATAAGAATACACCAGCATTCCTTTTTTGACCTAAGTTAGATTCAAAATACATTGTCACCTATTTTGAAATAACAATGAATTAGATGCTAAGAAACGCGGTTAAAAATTATAAGCATGTTTTTAGATGGATTTATGGTGGATGAGCTTCCCAGAAACATATAGAGCCAATAAAATAATCTTAAGTATACGGGAAGTTCCATCGTTTTCATAACTGGATTGATTTAACTAAGTTTTAAGAGCTGTATGTAAATATCACGTAAGTTGTAAACCAATGTGCGGTTGTAGTACACTAAACACTAAGTAATTACAACCATTACATCACGAGATCAGACGTTGACTTATTTAACAACCAGATCTCTCCATTGTTTTGTAACAAACAACAAATTCGTCACTTGTTTTGCTAGCAATGCCTCCGTGTATGGTCTTAAACTATTTGCATTTCTAGATTGCGCAGATTAACAAGTCTTTATGTTCAAAGTCAAAAGTGAAGTTACGTGCATCAAGTTATGAATTAAGTTTTTCCTTAAACAATTATTTCGACTGTTAAGCAGTTCAGCCTTAAGCAGCTTAAGATAACTAGACGAACCCTTTGTTTTAATTTTACTCGTCAACACCTACAAGAAAGAAATGCCAGTCATAAAAACAGTTATGCCTTTACACAGTAAATTGAATAAAAATAGGAAAAGCAAGTAATCAAGAGTATGTAGATTAACGTGTTAGTGGAAATCTCAAAGTCTAGTGTTACATTTATTCTACATACAAAACAATACATATATACCTTAAATGCTTGCAACTAAGTAGTTTTGAGAAGAACAGAAAACAGAAAAAAACATCATATGACATAACACACTGAAGCGAAATTGAAATAAGTCCCACGTTGCGAATTCGTCATGAAACAAGACATTAGCGTAGATAATTAACTATTGAGACACATAACACTGTAATGCAAGTAAGATGACATTATAATTTGTAATTAACAAGTGTGAAACTAATAAGAATTAAATAATAACTGACACTTATCGTTCACAATACTAAGAACTCAGATAATTGGTACAGAAAATAGGTGATGCTTTTGTTTTTAGGCAGTGACACGAACTAAGTTCTTTGATATGTAACATACTTCAAAATGATGAGATAGCAACATTCGCACACGCTAAGTGTAAACTATGAACCCATACCATCTTCCCATGTGCATCTTGAAACGTGAATATTGGCAAAGTTGGTCAATTTACGTACACTCATATAGAAGTGATCCACATATAGAATACGTGAGACCAGATTTGGAACAGAGTTTACTTTGTCAAGTCGTTTACCACCCGACCGAAGCTGCTACCTTGACGCGGTGGTCAGGCTTGCCTATCGTGATGTACCAACCGAGTTATATTGGCTGGAACATATGTTCCTGTAGGTTCTACCATGCCAGGCAGGTCGATTGGAGAACGGTAAGAATAAAAGCAGCAACTCAAGGTCTGAGGGCGAAGTCGTACTGCTGACTGTAGAGGGGTGTGACAGCAGTAAGGTGTTTCCCTCGGACAATCAGCATCTGCAGCAATGCTGCCTTCCCACAAGGAGGGATGGGGTTAGAAAAAGTCGACCCTAAAATTGTCACACCTCACCTTACCTCACGGATTTCCGTCTCCGGCGGTAAAGCCCTTTCAAGAACGGAGCTAACATAGTAAAAACCTCCCACGAAAAGGCCGTGCACGACCGGCCTTAAGCAGTTGTCTCTTGGGCTCTGCGGTAACGCTCCCAGGTCTTTGAGACCAACACTAATCTAATTTCCTTTTTAGGTTCCTCAAGAAATACCCTTCCACGGTGTGGGCAGCGGGGAAGTGATATCAGCCCTCATACTCGTAACAGCACACGAGACCAAGTTGGTCACATTCAAATCCTTCCTACACCTCCTAATACCTCTCTTATCTCCATGACCAACCCTCCTCACGTCTCTTTATCACCTCGCACCGCTAGGGCAAACGATTCGAGTACGTGGAACGCTATTCCTGGTCTCCTGAAACCACGCTCTAAACTACACGTAGGAGCTTTTAACGTACGAACACTGTGCCAAATAGGACAGCAAGCTTCCTTAGCTAGGACTTAAGAATCTCGCGCCGTCGATGTGTGCTGCGTCTCCGAAACGCGCATACAGGATCCGAGTAGCGTCATTCATTTGACCTCACCATGCCAAAATAAAGAACCGACTTGATTTACGCTTCATGTATCTGGAAGCCCTGATTCTGCTTCCCGTGGCCTCGCCGGCGTAGGTATAGCATTGAGTCCTAGGGCAGAACTAGCTCTCTTAGAGTGGATCCCAGTAGACAGTCGTTTGTGCGCTGTCCGACTAAACGGAACAGTAAGGATCCGGAAAGATAGGGAAACTTGTCGTTGCCTCTTTGTCGTCTCTACCTATTCTCCCACTGACTGCAGCTCAGATGATGTAAAACATGAGTTTTACAGAAAGCTTTCCGACCTTCTCCGAAAAGCTAGGCGCTCTGATGTAGTATTAGTGGCCGGTGACTTTAATGCTCAAGTAGGTAAACTAAGCGATAGGAAAAGACACCTAGGTGGATCTTATGGTGTCGTGGCTCAAAGAACAGATAATGGCGACCGTCTGTTGCAGCTATGCTCAGATAACCGTTTGTTCCTTGCAAACACTAACTTTAAGCATAAGGAAAAGCATCTTTTAACATGGGGACCCACTAATTCGTCCCAACGTTGGACCCAAATAGATCACATCGATATCAGCCACCGATGGAGGGGCTCGATAGAAGACTGTCGCTCATTCTGGAGCACATGCTTAGATTCAGATCATGCTCTAGTGCGAGCGCGTATTTGCTTGCGTCTTAGTGGACGTAGGAAAGACGCTGCAAGGAAACCTCTTAGGGTCCTACTTAATGATAGTCAAGCTAAGAATATATTTCAGGAACAACTAGGAAAACAGTTAGGCAGCCATGTATGTGATGCCCACCCCGAGGCAGCATGGAATGATATCCGAAAAGCTGTGGAAACAGCAGTGATATCTGCTAGTACGGTATACCACAAGGTTAGGGAGCAACACTGGATCTCAGCAGCATCTACCGCACTGATAGATGCGCAAAAACTCATTCCATCTGGATCTGAACATAATGAAGAGCGGAGTCAGCTTTAACGCAAGCTGACAAGAAGTCTACGCAATGGTCGCGAACAGTGGTGGGTTGCGAAAGCAAGAGAGATGCAACAGGCAGTGGCAATACGTAATAGCAGACAATTGTTCAGACTCGTTAAGGAAACCGGAATTAGGAGCCCGACCGTTAGCGAAATAATCACAGAGAAGGATGGACGTATTATACATTCTCAATCCAGGAGATTGGATCGATGGGCAGAACACTTTAGGGATCAGTTCAACTGGCCTTCAGCCACGCTTCGGTTTCCACGATCTCCAGTCAATCTGAATGGCAAGTTAATATAGGTCCTCCGTCTCTTTACGAAGTTGAAAAAGCCATAGGAAATCTGAAGCGAGGGAGAGCAGCAGGCCCTGACAGGTTTACTCCTGAGATTTTTAAGGATTGTGGTTCAGTATTAGCAGTGAGATTAACTGAGGTCTTAGGTAGAATTTGGGAACTGGACGTAATCCCATCTGACTGATCTCAGTCACTGATTGTGCCAGTCTATAAGAAAGGACAAAAGTCCTCTTGTGACAACCACAGAGGAATCAGTCTGACTAATATAGTGTCTAAAATATTAGCTTCAACAATACTTCGACGCCTAACCAAAGCTCGTGAAGAACAGACTAGAGAAAATCAGGCTGGTTTTCGACCGGGACGTGGTTGTATAGATCAGATATTCACACTACATCAGGCTCTAGAACACAGACACACGTTTAGGCGCCCCACAATGGTAGTATTTCTCGACCGTAAGGCAGCATTCGACTGTGTTGATCGTGAGGTTCTATGGCAGTGTTTGTCACTGAAAGGAGTACCAAAGAAGTACATTAACCGTATACAGGCTCTCTACTCAAACACAACTGGTAGAGTGAGAGCTTATGGCGAACTGTCATCAGAATTGATTACCTCAAGTGGTGTTCGTCAGGGCTGTCCACTTTCCCCGTTCTTGTTCAACTTTGTAATTGACGTACTTTTAGAGATAACACTCTCCTCATCTAAATTTCCAGGGGTTGAACTTCTACCGGGAGGTTCACTTGTTGACTTAGAATATGCAGATGAGCAACAATACAAGCATGTTCGGGATGCGATTCTCCCCCTCGAAATGCAAAATGTTGCTTCAGGACTGGGTTACATGGACACCCGAACTAGTGATAGGGAGTGAAGTAGTTGAGTGTGTCGACCGCTTCACTTATCTTGGAAGTCTCATCAGCCCTTGTGGTCTGGTGTGTGACGAAATCTCAGCACGGATACAGAAGGCTCGACTAGCTTTTGCCAACTTGCGTCATTTATGGCGTAGGTGAGATATCCGTCAACCAACCAAAGGACGTGTTTACTGCGCAGCAGTTCGTTCCGTCCTACTTTATGGCAGTGAAACATGGCCGGTAAGAGTAGAGGATATTCATAGGCTACTAGTATTCGATCATAGGTGTCTCCGAAACATTGCTTGTATACCCTGGGACCATCGAGTAAGTAACACAGTTGTTAGGAAACGGGTACGAGGTAAGGATGGCAAATCCATTGATGAAGTGATGAAACTTCATCAGTTGAGATGGCTGGGACACGTGTTACGTATGCCCAACGACCGACTGCCTCGACGTGCTATGTTCAGTGGTATAGGAATAGGTTGGAAGAAAGCTAGGGGCGGCCAAACCAAAACATGGCACAAGTCCATGAAGTCACTGACAAGTGGACTGAGTCATGTTGGTAGGTGTAGACTACCTGGTTGGGGACCGCGAGATGATAGCAACCAATGGTTAGAGACCCTGAATGACATGGTTCAAAATCGTTTGCAATGGTGCAGGTGCATCCACTCTCTGTGTTCTCCCAAATTCTAATCTTCTGAATTCTTCATGTCCCTTTTTTCCTCTTTCCAAATTTATTTCACTGGATTATACTCTTTAAATAACATCTCCAAACCCTAATCTTCCCGATTACTGCTTATACTCTTATTACCTCTACCACTACGGGATTTGAATCGACAACTGGATCTCTGTGCTAATGTGGTGTGGCAACTCGAACTGATGTACGTACGTACGAAGTTCTACGTTGGTACTGACTGACTAACTGACTGAGTCGTTTACCATTAACTTGAGCCGTGTAAAAAGGCACACACGTTTACGTAATGACCCACAAATTAATCGTAACAAACGGTTGGATTTAATTATTAGTTGACTTCCTAATTCATGAATATTGTATCACTGCATACTTTTCATTCCTCAAATTTCACAGATCTTATTTCTCTCCTATAGTTTTCCACTACGACTGAGACTTTTTTTATTTCTTGCTTTGCCTTTTGTTTATTTTTTCACTCCGTTTAAGTGAAGCGTGACAACTTGGATTGACGCATTCATTTAGATCTGTTCGTTTACAAAATACGTAATTACTACGAAAATTCAACAGCTCTCTAAATAAAAGGGAATTTGAATAAAACCAAAACCTTTTATGTTATTTACAGCCGGCAGTGTGCTTTCAGGAGCAAAAATTCTAGAAAATGTAAACTTACAGGCAAAGATTCAGGATAACGAGTAAAGTTATAAGCTCCAATATACGCGGCAACTTGTAATGGACTATCATAAGCCTGCTCAATAGTCAATATTCTTTTGGATTCGTGTACTGTTTTCCATTCAGTCAAAATAGGTTCGTTTATATCTCTAAGTTTCGGTCAAGAAATAATGCTTTGTTGGATAAATGAAACAAACGAACTGATAGTTGAATAAAATGATTTATACTCGGTTGCCTACCCTTTTTCTTAAATCGAAATGCACAACAAATATTTAATTTAAACGTCAATCAAAAAACAAATGTACATGGTTAAATACTGACTTTCGAGTTAACTTGTGCGAGGTCAAATGAAATCGAAGTATATAGAACAGATGGATTTACAGTTAAAAGTCAAATGTTTTACTCACCAAACCGCAATTTCACTAAGATATTTAATAACTGCATAGTCTCAAAAGAGATACCATTTGAAATGCTAGCACTGCATTCCATAGGTTAATAGCGCCATCACAGAATTACTAAATTAATATGTTGAATCAGTTACAACTACGGACATTCTCATTGAAAAATACAAAAACTGATCACGGAAGAGTGAGTAGATGCCGTAATATTTATGAGCTATAAGATATATATATATGATTGGTTGAAAATCAAATCTAAACAGTTCTTTATAGTAAGACATATGCTAAAGAACTTCAGATGAGAACAAATGACCAATAAATAAGAAACTTGAATCTAAGGTAGTTTGAATAAATTGTTTTAAGCTACGGAATCCTTCACAAACAAATATATTTTGTGAGAAAATTTGTCAATAAAAGAGATACGCGGAATACTAATAAACTTTGGTAAACATACGGACTTTGTATTCAACAAAAAAACGTTAACGAGTTTGTTAAACCCAAACCTACTTTGAAAACACTATACTATCAAACCTCCCGCGATACAAAAGCTGAGGATGGAAGCAGTTAGTTTCTACTGCAGAAGACTTTAAATCATCCAAGATATATTTTAGACTTTCACAATATTTGGAAACATTTTCAGGTAGATTAGAAGGAAACTTGCCCTTTATAAGTCGTGCTTCTACACTGGAATGAACACTTTTTCCTAAAAGCTGAAGTTCTATTTAACAAAAACATCTGTCTAATGGTGTTTACCTCTCATGTACTCCTGAAACCCATCTTCGCCAAGTTCATTTTTCTTTTTATCCTGCCATTTTCGGAGTGCAATTGTACTTTCCAAGGGTGCTGTTTTACTTAGTATAGCGGACACTGTTGGGACATTACGAAAATCTGGCTGATTTCCGTCAGTATGTTGACATGTGTTCCATGAATCAAATATAGAAACTTTGTAAGGCTTGTTAGAAATAACAGCGAAGCCACGTCTAAAGATCTTAATGAAGCTACAACCCAATAATTAATTATAGTCCTAACTCACTATATTTGAACTCCCCCAATATTCATTCTGCTATAAAATTAATCGATTCAGATATCGGGTAAATTGAGCTAATTAACAAATCTTCAGATGTAAGCAAATATGTACAAATACCTAAAATATGAAAAGAATGATATCAGAATATTGAGAACCCGTAACATCAAATGTTGGTGAGATTTCGAGCGCTGCTTTTTTATCTTAACAAGCATATTATTCACTCAACCGAACCGCATTTCACGGATCATTTATAGAGATTGTTAACTATGTAAATAAAGCTAAGTAAATAACGGAACCAGAAACAGTATGATTGTTTGCCTCTTCCTACAACCTGAAATGGTGTCAAGACATATAAAGTGATGATCTAACTAAATGCCTGCTAACAGTTTTCTACGACGATAGAAATAATCATCACTTATTAATCGAGTGAATTTATGCAGCTTTGATCTAAACAGTTACTCACATTTAAAATCAGGGTAGGGATTCCAATTTCTTATTTAGATCATTACGCGCACCTTCAGAGAAAATCAGTGAGTATACTCATCATCATGAAGCTCCAACTAATGAAAAAAAGTACGTGACACCAACTTTTGTTTCAAATATCGGGTATTCTATTGACTTCTAGGTAAGTCATATTTTCGTACGCTTTAACCGATGTGACCAGTTCTTTACACTGTTCATCACATGTGTACTAATGAATGAAAATGAGTGTCTAAATAAAGCAAACACTGTAACCTTTTATTTGAAAAGTAAATTTCATAACTCTTGTCCCTTAATACTGTCCTTATCTCATTATGACAAACTGTATTTACATGGTATGGTTGTTTGAACTGATGAACATATATGTTAAGTTCTACCTTTCTTATGACTTTCCGGCTTTATAAACCAGGTAATAAGCACTACAAATTTTCAGGGGGATTTCATTCCCCTTTAAAACAAAAGGTTGGGGCTTTTAGTTTCCCACCCTTAGACGTTTCGGTGTTGTATAAAAAGTAGTGAACACATTTTGGCATATCCTAATACGTATCCTTAACAATCCCTACTTGAGAATATGACTATTCAGTCTTCTGAATCTAAACATCTTGATTCGTCAGAGAAATTAGGTTACGCGACAACGATAAATCTTTACATAAAGCACATATTCTTCGGTATTAACATGAGTTACTCCAGTTTATCTAGAACAAGTTACAGGAATGAGTTCATATTATTAGAATAGTCACGCCATTATGCTATTTCTATTTATTGTCAGTCAGTCAGTCAGTACCAACGTAGAACGTCGTAAGTATGTGCATCAGTTCGAGTTGCCACACCACATTAGCACAGAGATTCAGTTGCCCACTGAGGAACTCCTGGAAAGTTTGTTGAGCCACTTCAAACCGAATTTAGCTTACACTGACTACTAGTAATATATATATGTTTTCAGTCCGACCTGCTACGCAACACTTCAGATTCCCAGTACTCCCTTCAGACTTTTTATTAGGAGAGAAACGAAGTAAGCGACTCAGATGGTTCTCAATGATGTACAGAATGTTGTAGGTCAAAATAAGCCTTCCTCTGAGTACCTTATATTCTACGGAATAAAGATACAGAGTTTTAAGGAATTCCTGGCAGGGTTTTAGTTTGAGTTCATGAACTGATTCCATGTTTCATCTTAGAAGTATTTATATCCCTTTGGGGTGGATAAACTTACGTTCCCATTCTATAGGTCGCGTTAAGTGAAACCTAAAAACTGAATGGAAAGTACTATTATCAAGCTAATCAAAATCGCTGTTCAAAGTAATTGGTTACCTCTAAAGGATTTTTGTAACAGATAGAATATAACTCTATATCGCAAAAAAATGAAGACGTCTATATCTTTTTCAACAAACGAAACTTCTAGTGGGGAGCTATTTAGGTTATACACGAAGTCCGAATCATGCCACAGATGTGCTTTTTTACTTTACAGAATTAAAGAAAGTCCATGGTCGTTTACCCACCTTAGAGGTAAAGCCAGACACTCCTGAAGCGTTAGTTTATCTTTTTAGTCGTTAACTTCTCTTCAAAGATTCACATTAGGAAAAAGCAACACTCCAAAGGATACCTAGACGAATATCTTCGTTCTTGGGGAATCCTTAGTACAGAAAGATGGATAATTCACTGTGACGTTGGATAGCATATTAGTTGACCATGACTATAACCAGTCAAGCATTTTGATAGGTATCTACACGAGATAACTGATAAGACAAGTATGATCGACCCGGCCTAGAGGCTTCCAGAAGTCGAGAGACAGTACATCAGTGACGAAGCTGTGTTACATTAATAGTGAGTATTTTAATTGTTTCTAGATCAAGCAAAGAAGTGAGTTAGGTTGAGAAACAGAGTTAGTGTCTCGATTACGAACTGACATTAGCTACGACGCAAGCTTGCATCCTAGGATCCTAAAGCCCATATCTCAAGTCCTAGTATGTTACGCAGTTCATATATCTTCACTTTCTCTAGATTCACAAAACAGATTAAGATTTTAGGGCGTCCTACTAAATCTGTACAATATAGTAGGTAAGGTAATTACCTTACCCTTACGATCGAGGATATAGATCCGGTTATCTCTAGAGGTTAGTAGATTCGTGGTGCAGTGAAGTTCAAAATTCATAACAATACTTTTTTCCAAATTCCGTACTAAAACCTTGATATTACAATCATGAACAAGATTATTTTAAAACCACGTGATTGCCTGGACACAGTAAACCACACATCCGAGGGACGATTGCTGAGACCTTGAAGTCAAATGTTTGGCGTGACTACTGACAAATACTAACAAGTATTCCTAATAATTTATGTAACCACAAATCTAGGACCATATCTTTTCTTTATTTGCGATTAATTTCGTTTAATCATTGTTCTTTATGTTTACCAACTGTGAATAGACATTATTGACGAGCATATAGGGTCAGTGAAATGTCACTAAGTCCATCAGATACACACACTACTGTCGATTTTAAAGTAAATTTCATTTAAGTCATTCACTTTTCCGATTTATTGGCCATGGCTTTTGTTTCAAGATAACAATATTCTTATATCATTTTGGGCAGCTGTACACTACATTGGACTCGGCCTGAATTATCATACAGTATTGCTATCGGATTTATACTTCACGTAATCAGTGTTGACTGTGAAGATGAACATTTGCTGATCGAGAAAGCTCCATTTTCGGTGGCTTTGTCAAGAGGAGCTTTCAAGTAACATTTACATAACGGCTATCGTTGAAGATGGCACATGTATTCAGTGTTTGACAACGCTTCAACCAGTAACACCTTCTAATATGAAGCGTACACACCAAGAGAAATCAAAAGACAGAATCGAAGAGATCAGAAGTTGTATCTGACGACTTTCAATATATCAGAATTATCTGATCTAGTCTAGCTAGCGATTTCAGCAGATGATGAGCACGGCGTTCCCACTTGTGATCTGGTGCGGATGCATGACCGAGTGCCTTCAGATAGGTGAGTCCATTAAAATATATGGTCAATATCCAATGTCGGAAACGTACAGAGCTATTTATTTTGGGGATTTATTTATCGCTACAGATCACTTCCTTCTAATGAAGTAGTGATGACCCTAAGACGTGTCCAGCCTGAAGTTTAAACTCAACGAGTTTGTCGTTGGTAAACACTCTTCTGATAGCTTGCTAGGTTTAGCAGCGTCTGGTCGTCTTTCCTTACTATAAGGGACCGTAAAATACAGTGAATAATAAATGTAATGTACAATAAAAAGTTTTGGTACCTCCTTAATCTCATCGTTCTTTTTACCGTCTTTTCCAGCCGTCCTGGAAAAGAAAAAAAGAATATGTAAGTGTATGTCGAAATAAACTCGCACGCGCCTCAACACACAAAGTGGGCGAAAAAAGGAAAATTGAGTAAAAGCGATTTTTACAAAAAAATTTTTTAAAAATTTATTTAATATACATATTAGCCAACTAATAAATATATATAAATATAAGCATATAAAATTTTTTCAGTACTATATATAATGCCATGGAAAATCGAAATGAAACAAAGTGTTAACTAGTGTCTTACGTGCAATAGTCATTTAAATGTTCTGGAAATCTTACTCTTCTTCCAGAACGCGCTGTTTCAAGTTTAGTTTCAGATACTGTCAAAGTATCATCGTGCGTGTTGGTTGTCGGATGAGGTATTATTAGCGTCGGAGTCGTGTCGTTCGATTGTACCGAAGGAAAATCGACATGGATATGATTTCCTTCTAAATACGCTGCTTTGGGGCGATCGATGCTGATGCTATCGTTGGTTCCGTCATTATCCATTATATAGTACTTAGGTTCGCGTTGAAGAACTTTGAAGGGTCCTCCGTATGCTGATTCAAAAGGTCGTCGATGCGAGTCTTGACGAATGAAAACGTGTGTACTATATCGTAAGTCAGGTTGAACGAAAACATCAGTTGATTGAGGTCGAGTGGAAGCAGGTTTAACTGAACGCATTGCGTTTGTAAGCCTGTTCGTGTAGGAGGTTAGATCCATGTTCATTGAAGAGGATGAAGGATCCACGAATTCTCCCGGAAGTCGAAGTGTCGTTCCATAAACGAGTTGAGCCGCAGTGTATCCAATGTCAGCTTTCGCTGCATTGCGGATACCTAGTAAGACAAGTGGAAGAGCGTCTGCCCGCTGTGAAACGTTTGCAGCTGATAGAGAAGCTTTAATTTGTCGGTGAAAACGTTCTACCAACCCGCTTGCTTGTGGGTGGTAGGCAGTCGTTCGGAAGCAAGTGATTCCCAAAAGTGTGATCAGACAACGGAAAAGTTCAGATTCAAACTGACGTCCGCGGTCTGTAGTAATAGTTGAAGGACAGCCGAAGTTTGCTACCCATCGTTTGACGAAGGCGTGGGCCACTGTTTCGGCAGTGATGTCCTTGATAGGTACTGCTTCTGGCCATCGAGTGAACGGTCTACGCAGGTTAAGAGATAAGAGTATCCATTTGAATCTGGTAAAGGTCCTACCAAATCCAGATGAACATGGTCGAATCGAGCATCGGGAGTTTTAAATGAGCCTAAGGGACATTTATTGTGTCTGATAACCTTAGATTTTTGGCAGCTTACACAGGAGCGTGCCCACTCCCTCACGTCTTTATTCATTCCAGGCCAGCAAAACCGTTCTGCTATGAGCTTGATGGTTGCACGAACACCTGGATGAGAAAGTTTGTGCAACATATCGAAGACATTGCGTCGATAATGTTTCGGCACGATTGGGCGATACCTACCTGTAGATGTGTCACAAAGTAAGGTTTCCTTACCTGTTCCCATCTGTTTGATGCGTAGTTTAAGTGTTGTAGACGATAACTCGTGCTGAAGATCACTGTCTTCTTTTTGAAGCTTGGCGAGTTTAAGAAGGTCGATTCCTTGGAAACTGTTCAAGGAAGTTATGCGAGATAAAGCGTCTGCAACTACATTGTTTGCTCCAGAGATGTGTTGAATGTCTGAAGTAAACTGCGAAATATAGTCCAGTTATCGAGACTCACGGGGAGAGTACTTGTCAGAAGGAGAGCTTAACGAGAAAGTGGGCGGTTTATGGTCCGTGAAAAGAGTGAATTCACGACCTTCGATGTAGTGTTGGAAATGCCGTACAGCACAATACATAGCTAGGAGTTCCCTACCGAATGTGCTGTACCTCGATTCAGTGTCTAACAACCGTCTAGAGAAAAATGCTAAGGGTTGCCATGAGTTGTTAACCCATTGTTGTAAGACTCCTCCGATTGCTGAGTCAGATGCGTCTACCGCGATACTAATGGGTGCTTCGGTGTCCTGATGTGCGAGCATTGTTGCTTTAGCAATCAGTTCCTTAACTGTGGAGAATGCTTTTCGCGCGGTGTCGTCCAGCTTGATGGATTTCGCATTTCCACGGAGTTGGTCGGTCAGAGGTTTCATAAGTAATGCGCATTTGGGTATGAATCATCTATAGAAACTTACAAGGCCGATAAACGTGCGTAATTACTTAACGGTGGTCGCTTCTGGGCAATCCAGAATGGCCGCCAATTTGTTCTTAGGGGTTGAATGCCTTGAGCACCTATAGTGTGTCCTAGGAAGTCTTGTAG